GCTCGGCCGAGGCCCCGGCGCCGCCGCCCTAGACCCGGGCCACAGGCACGCGGACCCTCGGTAGGGAAGGAGGGAACACCTGGGGGAGCCCGGCTCGGCGGACCGAGGACCACGTCTTCCTAAGGGGCCGTCGTGGGTTCCCGAGGCTCGAGATCCTTTGCAGCTGCGAGATCTGGAGGGGACTGTCCCGCATAAACTCGGACTGAAAACTGGGTTCTGACCAGTTACTCGTCTTTTGTGCTTCCGCCCCGACCTGTCTCAGCTGGACTTAAGGCTCCTGGGAGCGCCATGGGGTTGTTTTGTGTCCGTATTTCAATAAAAAAATTTCAAAAAGCCCTTCAATGCAATGGAAACAAATCTCATACTATGTGGTATGCATGAATGTGTTTTCATTTTTAAAATGCAACTTAGGACACACTGAGAACTTAGAAATGTTGATAACGTGTTTCTATACTGCTTCAGCTTATTCAGATGGTTGTGGAAGTGAATTTAGGATTCAAGTGGCATTGATTTTGGACAGCCACTCTCCAGACAGTTAATAAAAGGTTTGATGGTCAAATCTGGCCTCAAAATGACTTAAAAAATACATTAAGCAAATGAAATCCCAAGGCATTGAAGAACAGCCAATCAAACCCCAGAACCCTTGGCTCTAACCGCTGGATCTGGCTCCCTGCACCTTCTCTTCCTGCTTTTCCCAGAAGTAAGGACAGTCCCACTTGTTTGGGGAGTGGCATACCACGTACATGATACAGACATGGCGGGTGCACGCCTGGGGAGGTCCCTCAGCCTGGCCAGAGATGGAGACCTATCTGGGGAGGTGGAGGGGGGGAGGTATTTAGCATAAGACAGATCTGAGATACAAACTCTGGGCTTCCACAATGCTCATTTCCCATGACTTTAGATCCATCACTGGAATCTGATTTCACAATGCTCTCCAGTGTTAGAGTAACATCTGTTCCTGGCAGGCTAACTCCCGAGGCAACCACCTAATTAATTACCTCATAACCTGGCACTCTGAGACACTGTTACACTAACTCAATCTCACAGCTATGTTTGAGGGCCCATGAGCCAAACTGCAGCAAGGTGATCTTAAGGGATCAGGCAACACTGGCTAAGCATATTTTCAAGTCTTAACCTGGGCCTGGCACACCTTCAACTGCTGAGATGGCAGGTTGAAGCAACTGAGTGGCAGAAGAGAAGACGCACTTATGACAACATAGGCAGGATCAGACCCTTGTCAAATGTAACGTCCCAGGAGCACTAGTGTCCTCATGTTGGTCTATTACAGCATTACCAGCAGGCTAGAGAGCAATACCCCTGGAGGGGCCTGCAGCCTAGAATATGCAAGGAAATGTGGGAAGCTGGCATGGCTATGGCATACTCATGCCAGCTCAGCCTGGTTCAGTGACCCTGAGTGGGGGTGATGAAAGGCTTAGAAAATACAAGAGAATGAAAGCTGGGTCTCGGTGGAACACTGCTCCTCTGATGGACAGTGCCCGTGCCCACAAGCCGTGTCTTTATTTTATAGCAGATGCCACGAGGCAAAGGGCATGATCAAGATGTTTACAGCATTCTCGTGGGTTTCAACCCTACTTGACTACATGCACCTGAACTTTATCACTCAGGCACGTGGGGCCATAGGTTCAGACCATAGGTTCAAGTTTACAACTATATCTGTTAGCTATAATTGTGCTGGGAAGGCTCTGCCCTCCAAGCTGGGGCTTGCACGTGGCAATGAGGACTGTGCCCTCTCCTCAGTCCCGTGGTAGGCAAACTGGGGCTCGCGCACCACATGCGGCTCTTTGGCCCCTTGAGTGTGGCTCTTCCTAAGCCTTAGAAGTACCCTAATTAAGTTAGTAACAATGTACCTACCTATAAAGTTTAAAAAATTTGGCTCTCAAAAGAAATTTCAATCGTTGTACTGTTGATATTTGACTCTGTTGACTATGAGTTTGCCGACCACTGCCTCAGTCCAAGGCTTGAACCTGTCCAAAACACTAGCCGCGCCCCACAAGGAAAGGGTGTAACTAAGCTTGCCCAGGGCCTAAAAGACCAAATAGTGCCAATTCCATCCATGCCAAACCAAGAAAATGGTTCATTTTTTCCTGATTTTGGGTTCTTAAAGCAGAGGACGGATCATCAGGGAAACCAGAAAATTGATTGTAAAGCCCAGCAGAAATAAATGGGGGACAATACCCCAAGTTAAAGTCGGTATAGGGGCTCAGTCTCTACCACTGTGTTCCTAACAGGAAATACCCATTAACTTGAAGGGAAAAGGTGATCTTGTAAGCTTTGGTTTTCCACAGGACAGGGAACCAGATTAGCAAGGCCAGGCCTGGGCAACCACTCCTGATAGTGCAGGACTTTCTTGGGTAAGGTGCATGGGTCCCTGAGAAGAGTCTATGACAGCCGTGGGCAAACTACGGCCCGTGGGCTGGATCCGGCCCGTTTGAAATGAATAAAATAAAAAAAGACCGTACCCTTTTATGTAATGATGTTTACTTTGAATTTATATTAGTTCACACAAACACTCCATCCATGCTTTTGTTCCGGGCCTCCAGTCCAGTTTAAGAACCCATTGGGCCCTTGAGTCAAAAAGTTTGCCCACCCCTGGTCTATGAACACCCTAAGCCCTTGAGCAAAAATTGGAGTGGATGCATGTTTTTCTGGGGAAATGGTCCTTCCCTTCTCACAAATCCAAGAATAGGTTAAAATCCTGACCTAGGAAAAGGAAGCCACCAGGTAAATTTAGAGCCAGTCAAGCCTGAGAGCTTTCAAAGCTGTCACCAAAAAGCTGGAGCACGGACACACAACAGACAACGGAGCCCCATTTTTGTGCTCTTCTAAATGTATTTCAAGTTCTTTCCAAAACGAGGCATTGGGAACCCCAAGTTCAGGCATGCGTCTGGGCTGGGCCCACTGCCGTCTTGAGTTCACGCTTGGGCACAGATGTGACGAGGACATCTCCTATCTGTGACGCAGGACCCTCTCCTCCATGGCATGAGTCCTTGGCTGATTTCAGAGGTGGCAGCAGTGCCCAACGTGGGAAACACACTGCACTTTTCCTTTGGAAGTGGGACATCACCACCATCTTTTCCCTGACCCTTCCCCTGCAGTTTCTGAAGATATAGCAGAAAATAATCTTCTTTGAAGATACTGGATAATTCCAAAAAACAGAAACACATGCTTCCAATGCAGTGTGCTTTCAGATATTCTGGGAGGAAGGAAAACACAGTTTGGTTAATACAAATGAACTGTGACCTGGCACTTACGAGTACTGTAGTAACCACGATAAAGAGCACTTTCAGAGTTAAGATTCCTTCAACAAAATGGATCGTTTAGATCTTCAAATCCTTTCTAGTTAGTTTTTAGTATTACTCTCTCCCCACTTTCAGCTAAATAACCACTCTAATACAGAGATTTCTTTCACTGCTCAACATTTCCCAGCCTCTAAGTCTTGGGACACACAGTCCCATGTCCTAACCAGGCATTCACCCTTCCAAGCACGTCTCCATCCACTAGACTTGTAAATACCAGCCTCCTCTCGCCCCCAATGCCAAAGTTCCTCTCATGTACTGGCAAATGCAAAAAGAATTTTTAAGGGACAAAGCTTAGCCCAGGAAGTCAGCAAAGGGCAGTTTGCAGCCCCACCTCACCTGGGTTTAGTTCAGCTGCCGGATGAGCTGGTTGATGCGTTCACCTCGATAACCAGGGGAGCCCACCTCCTTGAGGAAGCCCACTCTGTTCTTGGGAGCGTGACGGGCCACCGAGAGATGGAAAGGGCACAGGAACCCCGAGATCGCCTGGAAATTCTTCCCCGGGAAGGCAATTTCATGAATGAGATCTTCCAAGCAAATAACACCAAACTTCCCTAAGAAACACAAGAGCAGCTTCCTTTATCCGACATTTCCCCAGCGTGTGCTGAGAGGCTCGCATACACCAGAACCTGGCACTCTGGCGGGTTCCTGGGATCTCAAGAAGAATATAACCTGGACCCCACACAGGACCGCCAAAGAGCCTTGCTTTTTGCCAACACTTATCCCTAAGATGCAGTACTCACCCAGATGCTCCTCAATCACTGTGTTGTCTGTCAAAGGGATGACTTTATTCTTGACCTTGGCTTGTCCACGTTTCAAGATGAGCTCCCGGACAGACTTCAGATTGGGAAATCTAAGGGAGGCAGAATAAAGAACAGCCTTAGCTGCCCCCTGGCACACTGCCTTACACTGCCGCTCAGCCCTGCAGCCTGGCTGCGGAGAGGTGCTCCCAACTACCCCTTCCCCTCACCACGAAACGTCCTGCAATCACACTGCAGCTGGGATGCGAGGGCACACCCAGTGAAGAGGGTAAAAACCAGAGCGGCCTGACTATCCAATCTGATTTACAATTTATGGACAAAAATGTTACCAGGCAAAAGTTTATTTCCCAGACACAAATAAAGTAAGTCCTGGCTTATAGTCTAGGACTTTGGCCTTAGGTGTCCCTCTACTCCAGATGGTGCAAGAGTTTGCAACTAAATTCAAGCCTTTGCTGGGTTTAATGTTTGAAGGAACATTACTCTTACATAAGCACTGCTCCTAGTTCTGCTTTAAGACTCCAATAATTAGCCGAAACCGGTTTGGCTCAGTGGATAGAGCCTCGGCCTGCGGACTGAAGGGTCCCAGGTTCGATTCTGGTCGAGGGCATATGGCTGGGTTGCGGGCACATCCCCAGTAGGAGATGTGCAGGAGGCAGCTGATCGATGTTTCTCTCTCATCGATGTTTCTAACTCTATCCCTCTCCCTTCCTCTCTGTAAAAAATCAATAAAATATATTTTAAAAAAAGGGACTCCAATAATTAGTTTCTGTTCTACCCACTGCACTCAGTTGTGGCCTAGAGCAGTGGTTCTTAACCTTCTGGCCCTTTAAATACAGTTCCTCACGTTGTGACCCAACCATAAAATTATTTTCGTTGCTACTTCATAACTGTAATGTTGCTACTGTTATGAATCGTAATGTAAATACCTGATATGCAGATGGTCTTAAGCGACCCCTGTGAAAGGGTCATTCGACCGCCAAAGGGGTCGCGACCCACAGGTTGAGAGCTGCTGGCCTAGAGGCCCAAGCCCTGCATGGTGCTGTCCGCGGCACATTACCAGCAGCACGGTATCCCCTGCTCTACCTGCCCCATATCGCAAGGTTCTGGCGGCTGGCCACTGATTTCTGGTGACTGTGGTCATAGCAAAATGTTCTTTCAACACAGCATCGGGAGCCTTGGGGAACAGTATCCCGTGCAACCTAATAGTCTCAACATGCTCAAATACAACCTAATGTGAAGCCACACACACAAAAGCCTTACTCACCCCCAGGTCACATACGGTTCCACTATACGCAGCGTTTTTATGGTCTTGGGGGTCACTCTGACAAAGACACCACTGAAAATCTTCTTCAGGCGAAGCCTTGCAATGGTTTTCTGTACCAGTAAGCTCACCCCCCTGATCCTGAAATGAAGAGCAGAGAGAGTGGGCTCTATTTCATTTACGTCAGCCCAACCGGCACCTAGGAGATGTACGCCACCACTGGCCACTCCGAGAGCAAGACACAGACTGTGCCTTAGAGTTCAGCAGAGTAGGAGGCAGCCGCAGAGTGGATCATTTCCACACGATGTGCAGCAAGGCCTGAGGTGCTACGGGAACAGAGGTGGTCCCAGAATTTGTGGTGTGTGGGGGGTGTAGGCCTATGTATATCAAGCTAAGGAAGCTGGACCTGCTTCTGTGGACAGTAAAAGCGATGGAAAATATTAAGTAAAGAAGACAGGATCAGATTTCTTTTTGGGTACAGAGGACAGATCTGAGAATTTGACACCAGAAGCAGGAAGTTAGAAAACTAAAGTGATAGCCCAGGAAATAGACTATTGACAGTGTAGGAGGTCTGGTAAGCAAGGCTCATAAATATTTAAAATACACAGGTTTCTGGTTTGGGTGATTGGGCAGGGGAAACAGAAAGAGGCAGAGCTATATGTGCAAGTAGGAACGAGTAAGGAAAATGCCTGGCCAGTGTGGGTCAGTGGTTGAACATCGACCTATGAACCAGGTCACATGCCCAGGTTGCAGGCTTGATCCTCAGCATGGAGCAGTGCAGGAGGGAGCCAGCCAATGATGCTCTCTCATCATTAATGTTTCTCTATCTCTCTCTCTCCCTCTCTGAAATCAATTAAAAAACAAAAAAACGCAACAATTTTCATGTCACTCTCTCTAGCACTGATTATGCTCCATCCACTTGACCTTGGTTGTTCCTAGAGAAGCCGATTCCCCCACTTCAGGACTTCTGCAGCTCCCATGGAAAGCCTTTCCCTAACACTGGTGAACTCCTTACATAGTTGCAGGCCTCGCTTCAAGCTCCTGCTTTAGAAGAGTGTCTTCAACCTGTATACACACTGTCCCCCCGACCAATCCAGAACTTAACCCTCACAGCACATAGTGTATTTTCATGTCTATTTGCCTAAGATCAGCTCCTTAACCTCAAAGACAAAACCTATGCTGTGCTCAACCCTGAATTCCCGGCACAATTTACCGAGTGGCTTAAGGCCTATTTTTACCTCATCTCTCCAGAAAGGAGCCTAGAGCCGAATCACTAGTTTGCCCCCAGTCTCGCGTAACTGAGCAAGTGACCTACCTTTGGATGCGCACAACGAAGGCCAAGGAATGTTCATCTGGCACCTCCAAACCGTGCGGCTTCACTTCCAGCCGTCTGAGGCGCACCTTGTCACGCTGCTGCCGCCAGGCATCGTGCAGGAACCATTCCAGTCGCTTAAACCTGATATCTTTTCCTTTCCGCTGCTACGGAGAGGCAGACCAGCATCACCACTTGGTGACGCTAGTCACCTTTACTTCCACGACAGTAAGGCATTAATCACTATCAATAGAGCTTATCTCCCCTTACGTCTGCAAAGGAGCAAACCAACTCCTTCATTCTCATGTAAACAAAAATGATACCAAGTGAAGATGGAGTTGAGAAAACCTGGGAACCGCTGAGAAAAGTCCTTGATAAGTTCACTCACGTGCTGTTAACCAATGTGTACCTACAGGCGTTTTTGGGGAACCTAACATTTAAGCATCCTAAAGTACAAAACACGCACGCGTTTTGTTCCCTGCCTCCAAAATATATACATATATTTACCCCAAAACACTGAGCAAATAGCACATTTAAAAAAGGATGTTAAGATTGTGTTCCCCAGTAACACGTCTGGGCTCTCAAATCACTTGGTATGAACCCAGATGGTACAAGCTTCCCTCCCACGTTTCCCTGAACAAACTACTCCAGTATTTTGCTCACAGTTGGCGTTCGATAAAGATTTGCTAAATGAAGGCACGAACCATGGAACCGACGGGGAGTGGGGCACCAAATCCAATTCAACCCGAGCCAGATAAAAACCAACACATGTACATTCTAACTCCACCCTCCTGGGTCCCCACAATTACCTCCTTCTTTTCCAAAAGTGCCCGCTTCGCCTGGGTGGCTTTGAGGGCCTGGTACGCCTTCCTCCTTTTCAGGAGGTTTTCTGGAACCAAAGGGATCTTCTTTCTTTGCCTGATACAGAAAGTTGAGGTCAGCGACAACGTCTCGGAAAGGCATCTTCAATGGACCTCCAAGCCATTTCCTAGGCTTCGGCAAACATCACCGTCTTCAAAGTCCTAGGAACCGAGACTCCCCGGAAACCTGTGGCCCTGACTCCGGTCCTCCAACTGGACCCCCCCACCCCCACCCCAGCTTGGAAGCCCTAGCGCAGTGGTTCTCAACCTTCCTAATGCCGCGACCCTTTAACACAGTTCCTCATGTTGTGATGACCCCCAACCATAACATTATTTTCGTTGCTACTTCATAACTGTAATGTTGCTACTGTTATGAATCGTCATGTAAATATCTGATATGCAGGAGGTATTTTCATTGTTACAAGTTGAACATAATTAAGGCATAGTGATTAATCACGAAGACAATATGCAATTACATATGTGTTTTCCGATGGTCTTAGGCGACCCCTGTGAAAGGGTCGTTTGACCCCCAAAGGGGTCGCAACCCACAGGTTGAGAACCGCTGCTTAGCGAGTCATGAACTTCCGCCCTAGCCCGAGCACCAAACCTATTCCTCAGGGCACACGCCCGGACTGAGGTGCCTACCCAAGCAACCGATGGATGTTTCTCAAATATTTCTCTAAAATCAATGAAAACATACAAAAAATCACGAACCCTTTAGCCACTGTTCCGCCTCATGCCCAAGTAGCTTTTACTGACACAGCCTTTCACAGACACTAGCAGCGAGGACATCCCTGTAAAACCCTGGGGCTGGGGCGGGCGCAGACCCATTCGCAGCGGGAATCCTAAATTACGCTCGGTGAACCGAACTCCAGCCCGGGGGCCTGGAAGTCAATCCTCGCCCCTCCATGTCACCCGAACTTGACGGCCCCCGCTGCCCGCCGGCCCGCCCGAGCCCTCCGGTCCCCGCTCTACACCCCCATCCTCTGTAATCTGGAGCCTTTTCCATTCCCTTCCTTCAGGCCACAAGTATCCCTATTTCTCGCCAACCCGTGGATGGCACCGGATGCCCTAGGACCCACGCCAGAGACTCAGAGTCCCAAATACTCACTCTTCCTCCGCCATCTTGCCAAAGCTGCAGCCGCAGCGCATGCGCAGTCCCACCGCGTGGGGAAGCGGGGCACCGCTCTATGTGTACTTCACCATAGAGACGCCTCTTAGCCTCGCGTCCCGGAGAGCAAGCGTCCCGTTAGCAGCAGCCTCCGCGGAGGTCACGCCAGCCCCGATTCCTGCCAGAGGTTGCACAAGGCTTTCTTTACACTGCTCCCAAGGGATTTGGAGCCCTGTAACATTCAAAACCCTTTTCACTCAAGTTATAGTCTCATATGCCGGGGGCTGGGCTATAAACAAGGAAACGCTTCCCACAGTGCACGACGACTTCCGGTGGGGGGGCGGGCGCTGCTCCGCCGGCTTCCGCTGGGCTGCGCGGAAGGGAAGACGGGTCGCTTCCGGGCCGCCTTTTCGTTCCATTTGGCCGCAGCCCTCCTGCGGGCCGAGGTCTTGTTGACGACGTCGGCCCGGCTCCAGCAGCGGGCCCTTGATCTACGTCTTCGTCTACTTCACCCACAGAACGAGGATAATAACGCCCCCTCCACCCCCCCCGCAACAGCCTCAGGAGGGTGTGTGAGCTGCTTCGGGGGGAGCGCCGGGCACAGACACCGACCGCCGGCAGCAGCGCTGGTGTTACCGCTGCCGGACCGGGAACCGGGAGTGCCTGTCCCCTCGTCCTCCCAGAACATTCCCTCTTGCCGCCTGGAATACGCTGCCTTCTCTCTCTGGTCCTAGTAAAACCATGGGACGGAACTCAGTCCTGCCTTTTCAGACATCGCGTCTCAAGCACTTGTGTGCACAGAAGCCACCCGAGGGTCCTGCGAAAATGCAGTTACTTACTCGGGAGGGGCGGGGGCGTCAGGTCGAAGGCGGCGTTTTCACACGCTTCGAAGGGATGCTTCGAGTCTAGGAATTACATTTTAACCAGCAAGACTCTAAGCAGCCTCCGCCCTTTCTCCGAATTCCTGCACACATTTCTACCCCGTGACACTGGCGGGGCAGGGGCCATGCCTGATCCTAGACGTCTAGCACAGATTTCTCTTTTTTTCCATTTCTGCACGTCCTTCCTCATCTTGGCACTCGTGGCATTTGGGGCCCCGGATAATTATTTGTTATGGGGGAGGGGGCTGTCTTGGGCGCTGTTAAGGGTGTTCAGCAGCAACCCAAACTTGCACCCACTATAAGCCAGTAGCATCCCCACGCCAGTTGTGGTAAAAAAAAAAAAAAAAAGTCTCCAGGCTTTGCCAAGTATCTAGCACAGCATATGTATGCTAAGGGTAGAGCGATGTGGTTATTTGGCCGTCAGCTCTCCCAGGGACCCCACAGACTTCATCCTGTACCATTTGTCCTGTTGTTGCCCTACTTAGACCGGGTGCTCAGAAGGCAGGGAGCTTGTCTCCTAGTCTCTGAGGTACAGCACCTGTTACAACAGTGGACCCCTGCAGGGGCTTGTTGGTCGCGTGCAAAGCATCGTATTGGTCTGAACAAAGAACCAAAATCACTCAATATTTTGTAACTTCCCCGAGAGATAAAAGGTAGGCTCTGTGGAGCGGACATATTCGAGAGTAGGACTTTCAGGGGTATCAGCAACACTGGCTGAAAAGACTTTGGAGGCCAGGATTCAGGGAAGGCGATCCAGTGCCCGCGGGTGGTGCTGAGAGCGTCCTTCGTCTCAGTGCCAAAGCCACCCTCCCACCAGGCTGGTCAGAGAAAAAGGGATGGAGGCTTCAACCAAAAAAATCCCTCACCAACTGAACATGTCTACTGAGCTTTGAGCATGGGCTCTCACCCTGGGGGAGATGATAGTGGGTTTTTTTCTAAGGGAGGTTACTGAGTGAGAGCCTGGCATGGCCATTCACCGCCTCAAGAATCTTATTCTCTGTAGCTTGTCTCAGAGGCTTCTGCTCTCTTTTTTCTTGACCACTTCAGTTGTCCATCATTAGGGAGCGATTACGTGGATTATGGAAGGCCCTGGCCAGGGAGCTGGGTTGGTGAGAAGGTCATCCTGATACAGCAACGTTGCCGGTTCAATACCCAGTCAAGGCACATACAAGAATCAACCAATGAATCATAAATAAATAGAACAACAAATCAGTGTTTCTCTCTCTACCTTCCTCGCTCTCTCTAATATAAAAAAATTTAAAAATGTATGGAAGATTCTGCAATTATATGTAGTGATGTAGGCTCCTGCACGCCCCCCACTGGGGATATGCCAGCACAACCAAGGTACGTGCCCTTGACCGAAATTGAATCTGGGACCCTTGAGTCCGCAGGCCAACGCTCTACCCACTGAGCCAAACCGGTTCTGGCGCAATCCTCTTTCACAACGGTATCCCCTTTCTCCAGTGAGCTGTCCCTCATCGTGTACGTCTGTGGGAGTGGAGTACCACAAGCTTGCCCTCGACACGTAATGTGAAAGGGTTCTGGGAGACCTGTTCCAGGCCTCTCACTGCCCAGTGGGAGGGGCCTGGGACCGTAAACTTATCTTCCTTGGTTTTGAATCTTGAGCAGCAGTGACGGAAGAAATGTAGGTTTGTGGCAAGCCTTTTAAGGATTTCCACCTATTGAGTGAAACCTCCTGGAATTTCCTTGTTCCTGTGCTGCTCAAGCCTGGTGTTTTTTTCAAACTTCCCTTCAATCCTTACCCTTCTTATAAAACTCCTTAGGCCAGTTAACTAGATCAGTTTCTGTTGCTTGCCATCACAGAATCCTGACTATAGAATCCCAAGACATTTGGAAAATGTCTGTATTGGACTGTATTTGAAAAAGCAAGATACAGAATAGGGTGTCAGAGCATGGTCCTGGTTGTTTTTGTTATTTGGCTGTAGATGTATTTGTATGCAGCAATTTTGGAAGGATATACAAAAAAGTGTAGATGGGTATTATTTTTGGGAAATGGGAGTGGGGCCTGGAATGGCAGCAAGGCTTACATTGTGTGGTATGCCCTTTGTTTATCACATATTTATTAGCCTAATGAAAGCTCTCTAGGGCATTAGCCTCTTGTGATTTGTTTGTTTCAGAAACTCCTCGACTGTATGTTTTTTAAGAGGCACATACAAGAATCAACCAATGAATCATAAATAAATAGAACAACAAATCAGTGTTTCTCTCTCTACCTTCCTCGCTCTCTCTAATATAAAAAAATTTAAAAATGTATGGAAGATTCTGCAATTATATGTAGTGATGTAGGTCCTCAAGTCCCCAAAACTTCAGCGATAG